TCACTGCAATGCCACATGTGATTTTATAACCTTTTTGCAGCAGTTGGTAAGCGAATCACTATGTTCGCTAAGCGAACATGGTGGTTACTGTCTGCAACGGGTGCAATTTGGGAGCCCTTCAAAGAGGAGGCACAACATGGAAAGCGGACGTACCTGAGGAAGAAGGTGAAGATGGATGGGGACTGTCTTCCTGAGCACTTCCTGTCTGCGAGAGGCCTCCGCCCATCCCACTTTCCTCAGTGATGTTGGAGGAGCCGGGCGTGGTTGATCGGCTGACGGACTGGGATTCCTGATCGCTTCCAGACCCACGGCGCTCATCGATGCTCCCCTGGAGGATCTCCTCTTCCGACTTCCTGTCCCTCTTGTGGACTCTGGAATGAACCACCACTTGGTGGTAGGTTCTGAAGACTCTCCCGCAGTCGGGACACTCGGTGGGCTTCTCCTTGGTACCGCCGTGACTCTGCATGTTGTAGTCGAGCCCCGGATTCATACCGTGAGGCAGGAAATCCCTGCTCCCTTCCAAAGGGTCCAGTTTGTTTGACAAGTCTCTCTGATTGCCCATTTTAGTGCTGTGAACCAAATCAGCAGGCATTTTCTGCTTGGAACCATCTGCTCCTACTAACACGTACTCCCGCTTCTCCTTATCAAACAGAACTCCGGCGTTTGCCAAGGGGTCTTCGTGGCTCCGCTGAATCTGGTGCTCTTTCGTCAAGAAGCCATGTTCCACGGCCATTCCCCTTGCCATGAGCTGCCAAGCTTGGTAGCTGTTCACAGGGTCCATCTCAGCAGCTTTGGCGGCAGCCTGCAGCCTCTCTATGCAGCTCGATTTGAGTGGAGGCACAAGGTTAAGACAACCCAATAAGGAATGCTTGTCCCCTTCAGCAAGACTGTGTCCGAGGCTAGCAATAGGAGACAGGAGCTTGCCCAGGACTTCGCGTTCTTTCATGGGCAAATCCCCTTTACTGTAAGCCGGGTTCTGCTCGCCGAGGCCAGCTTTGTCTGGGGGCAGGAAACCACTCTGCAGACAGGACAAGTATCTGGAGTACAGGTTGGCGTGAGCTTCCTGGGACATGCTCCCCACAGGCATGGGGACCTCTGCATCACTGGGGGGTTTGTTCTTCACCGACAACTTATTCAGGTGGACTTTCATGTGGTTCTTGAGGAACCACGGCTCCTTGAAGCGCCTCCCGCAGATTTGGCAACAGTGCTCAAAGGAGTCCTTGTGCTTCCTCATGTGGCCCTTCAGGAACCAGGCTTGGCTGAAGACCTGGCCGCACACTTCGCACCGGAACTCATTGGCCGCTTGCTCCCCGTTTCCATTGGAACCCTGGCCCTGAGCGGACTCGGCGGTGATGTGAGCTTTCTCCACGTGGCTGATCAGCTCCTCCTCCTGGGATGCCGCAAAGTCGCACAAAGTACATTTGTAAGGCTTGTGGAGGATGCGGATGTGGCGGTCCAGCTCCTCCCGTTTCTTGAACTTCCCTTTGCAAAAAGTACATCTAAAGCCAGCAGCCGTGGCAACCACTTCTTCCTGGAGGCTGGCAGGTTTCGGAGAGGGAACCGGGTTAGACATATCAGGGGTGTTGTGGTTTGTGGACATGGGTATGTTGCAATTAGCCAGAGGGACAGGCTGAGTGTGAGGGTGGACTTTGACATCAGGCCTGGGTTGCAGAAGGCTGCTTTTCATCTGCTTGTCTCTCAGGATGGCCCGTTCTTCCAACTCGTGCAAGAGCCGGTTCTCTTCTCGGACCCGCCCACGGCCTTTGCCCAGGTTTCCAAGCTTGTGAGTACGCAGGTGTATCTTCAAGTTTCCCTTCTGAGCTGCTCTGTGGTCACAATAGGGGCACTTAAATGGTTTCTCCCCAGTATGGGTGCGCATGTGTAGCGACAGGATGCTGTTAAAACGAAAGCGCTTCCCGCACAGGGGACATGGGTATTTCCTGTTCTTCCTAGCGTCGTCCTCTATGTCACTCATCTGAGACATGATGCCTAGGTTCTGTCCATTTAAGAACTGCTGTAGATCTACCCTCCCGTTTAAACTGGTATCAACTTCTCGGTTGAGTTGATTGGCCAAGAGGGCCATCTGACTGCTAATAGGCTGGTTGGCTAAGGAGATGTGGCTCTTGTCTTCTAGAAGTGCCACTGCCTTTTCCTCAGGGCTCTGTCTGGTCTGAAGCTCAGGAAAGGCATGGGTGAGCTGGGAAGTGATCTGGTGCAACTTCTGACTCATTGAATACCGGCCATTGAGCAAGGAGCTGTTGAGGTGGGCCTCGGATTCTGGTCCCGCTGAAGAAACACCAAGGCACAGACTAGCTTCCTCCATTCCTGGAAAAAAAAAAGAAGGGGAAATTTAGATTTTTCAAGTAGAGCATTTTCATCAGCGGATCTACGAAAGCACAAAAACTACATGCAACGTTCCTGTAATCAATACTCAATAAATGTATATTAAATGTCAAGTGCATGGTGTGCCATTGTGATTGTTTTGTCTTAATTATACGAGGCCTTCATCACCCTGCAAACTTTTTTTTGATTGCTTCGATTAATTAGGCTTTTTAAATGAGCACGTTGCCCTTCATAGAGTTATACACAAACCAAGTTATAACTATTAGCCAGCATGGGTTTATATTTAGATTTCAGCAAGACATTTGACAAAGTAGACCACAACCTACTTCTTCTTCTTCTACTACTACTTCTGGTAAACTTGAAAAGTGTGAGATAGATAGCATCACCACCAGATGGATTTGTAACTGATTGACAAAGTGTACTCAATGTGTAACTCTTAATGATACTCCTGTCAGGCCTGCATTTATATTCCTTTTAGAATTTTGGCCTTCCACACTTTCTCTTATTTCATTATGCTGTTTCTTTAAG